TTCAGTGCAGCTTGCAGACTGAGACAGACTGGGAAGAAGGAAGAGGAAGAAGGGAAGAAGGAAGAGGCACTTCTCAAAGAATTGGCAGAGAAAACATTATGAATAGCAGAGAAACACTGTCTGATACATTACTGGGCAACTTTATGAACAACCCAGAAACATCGTTTGATGCAGTGCAGTGCAGGAGGATGAGCTCCTTAGGTCAGAAGGCTCTCAGAATATGACTGGGAAAGAGCTGCATCATCAGAGTAGAATCAGCCTTACTGATATGGATAAGGTAAAGCTTTTGAGACCTCCATATGCTGATGTGGCACAATTCAAATTGCAGAGAAACAGCTGCAAATAACCATTAATAATTGGAACATGGAATATATGAAGTATGAATCTAGGAAAATTGGAAGTTGTCAAAAATGAAATGGAACGCATAATGATTGATATCCTAGGCATTAAGAGAGCTGAAATGGACTGGTTTGGGCCATTTTGAATCAGACAGACAACCATGTGATCTACTATGCAGAGACTGACTGTTTGAAGAGGAATAGTGTGACATTCATCGTCACAAAGGATGTTTCAAGATCTGTCCTGAAGTACAATGCTGTCAGTGATAGGATAATATCCATACGCCTACAAGGAAGACTAGTTAGTATGACTATTATTCAAATTTATGCACCAACAACCAAAGTCAAAATGAGGAAACTGAGGGATTTTTATCAGCTTCTACAGTCTGAAATTGGACAAATATGCAATCAGTGTTAATTATCACTGGTGACTGGAATGCAAAAGTTGGAAACAAAGAAGAATCATCGATAGTTTAAAAATTTGGCCTTGGTGAGAGAAATAATGCTGGAAATTGCATGACAGAATTTTGCAATACCAACTACTTATTCATTGCAAATACCTTTTTTCAACATCACAAATGGCAGCTATACACATGGACTTTGCCAGATGGAATACACAGGAATCAGATTGACTACATCTGTGGCAAGAGGCACTGGAAAAGCTCACTATCTTCAGCCAACACCAGGCCAGGAGGTGATTGTGGAACTGGCCATCAACTGCTCATATGCAAATTCAACTAAAAGTTGAAGACAATTAAAACAAGTCCACAAGAGCCACAATGACCTTGAATATATCCTTCCTGAATTTAAAGACCATCTAAAAAATAGATTTGACACATTGAACACCAATGACTGAAAACCAGAAGAAAATAGGATGACATCAAGAACATTATCCATGAAGAAAGCAAGAGGTCATTAAAAAGATGAGATAAGAAGAAAAGACCAAGATGGATGACAGAAGAGATTCTGAAACTTGCCCTTGAATGGAGAGTAGCTAAAGCAAATGGAAGAAATGTAAGATAAAAGAGCTGAACCAAAGATTTCAAAGAGCAGTTCTACCAGACAAAGCCAATTACTATAATGAAATGTGCCAAGAGCTGGAGTTAGAAAACCAAAAGGGGAGAACACAGTTGGCATTTCTCAAGCTGAAAGAACTGAGGAAAAAAATTAAGCCTTGAGTTGCAATACTGAAAGATTCTATGGGCAAAATATTGAATGATGTAGGAAACATCAAAAGAAGATGGCAGGAATACACAGAGTCACTGTACCAAAAAGAACTGGTCTATCTTCATCCATTACAGGAGGTGGCATATGGTCAAGAACCAATGGTACTGAAGGAAGAAGTCAAAGCTGCACCAAAGGAATTGGTGAAGAAGAAGGCTCCCAAAATTGACAGAATACCCATTGAGATGTTTCAACAAATGGATACTCCACTGGAGGCACTCACTTGCTTATGCCAAGAGATTTGGAAAACAGCTTCCTGGCCAACCGACTGGAAGAGATCCGTATTTGTACCCATTCCAAAGAAAAGTGATCCCACAGAATATGGAAATTACTGAACAATATCATTAATATGGCACGCAAGTAAGATCTTACTGAAGATAATTAAAAAATGGTTGCAGCAATATATTGACAGAGAACTTCCAGAGGTGCAAGCTGGATTCCGAAGAGGATGTGGAACAAGGGATATCATAGCTGCTATCAGATGGATCTTGGCTCAAGGCAAAGAATACCAGAAAGACGTTTACTTGTGTTTTATTGATTATGCAAAGGCATTTGATTGTGTGGATCATAACAAATTGTGGATAACATTGAGGAGAATGGGAATTCCAGAACACTTAATTATACTCATGAGGAACCTGTACATTGACCAGGAGGCTGTCATTCAAACAGAACAAGGGGACACTGCATGGTTTAAAATCAAGAAGGGAGTGTGTCAGGGATGTATCTTTTCTCCATTCTTATTCAATCTGTATGCTGAGCAAATAATCCAAGAAGCTGGACTGTATGAGAAAGGACATGGCCTCAAGAATAGAGGAAGGATCATTAACAACCTGTGATACGCTGATGACACAACTTTGCTTGGTGTAAATGAGGATGACTTGAGGCCCTTACTGATGAAAGTTCAAGAACACAGTCTGTAGTATGGATTACATCTCAATATAAAGAAAACAAAATCCTCACAACTGGACCTAGAAGCAGCATCACTATAAATGGAGAAAAGATTGAAGTTATCAAAGACTTCACATTACTTGTTTCTACAATTGACACCAATGGAAGCATCAGTCAGGACATTAGATGACGTATAGCACTGGGAAAGTCA